CAATTTATAGCCTAATATATTAACTTCACAGATTGAGACCGAAATATCTACGGATGAAAAAAAAAACAGTGCATGCACATATGAGTCATATAAGCACAAGCATAGCAAGGTCTTCAAACAGGCCACTCCAACTTGACTTTAGCGTGATAGACTTAAAGTTTGGAGATATAATAATTAAAGGGCTATGGTCGTTGCGCTGCGCATGTGCGACATTTGTGTTGATAAACATTGATTTTCCAACATTATAATGCGCTCTTCTAATGGAAGTTACAAGTATGAGGTTTGACCTGGGCACGACTTGCACTAATTATACCTTCTAATCATCTAAAACTACCTAATTAAAGCTTGATAACGTCTCAGTTTGTACTCGTTGTTTTGCGTAACAGTCAAAGTCGCCATCTTTGTTTATATGAGACCCATATATTTGCACATGCGTGGCGCGACAACTAAATAACTACAAAGAAGGCGATATTTGACACTATGAACCAACAATGTCACAACGAACAAAACAAACATATATGACGCGAGTTAACCGAGAACTTCTGCGGTAGACATTTTCTCACAAACAATTAAATATCAGTTTGATAACACTGATTATTATGGGATATACACATAGAAACCCTGAACAGTCAGGTCATGTACCATGTATATATGTAATGCAGCTTTCTTTACCTCTAGTAGATAATTTGGAACTTCATCTAGCGTCTGAAATGTAGACTCATTTGGTGTTATAAGGTAAAATAAACGACGTGTCCCGGTTAAAGCGTCGATCTTAAATAGGCCCGTACCGTTCGTAGCTGCCATGTTGTTCGCTGAATACAGTGTATGCAGCTTGAACAAGGTCTGCACTATTTATATCACATCGACCCCTATTTGAACCCTGACCTGAAGTCTAACAATGTACAACACACATTTGAACAACACAGGTGAGGTTTCTGTCAGGTGCAGCCAAGTATGTTCATTGTGACAATTTACGATGAAAACATTACATACAAATTTAATTGAAAACAATAACCAGTCGATAGAATTAAATTCCCCGGTTATGTGACCCGCGTTCCATACTGTCGACTG